GGTATATGAGTCATCAAATATACCGATATCTATATATTTGCTAAGAAATATAAATACTCGTCCAAAATATTTTGGGTTTACTACAAACCTTCACTAGTCTTGCTTTTTCGTGTATAAATTTAAAAAAAAAAACCACCTGTTAAAATGCCTCACGGACTGAAATTTGGGTGAGATAGGCGAAGTTAAAATCCACTCTATGACGTTTTAAGACTTGACAACTGACGCTTAACGTGAACTTTTCTCTTGTTCTTTCCTTATTACGCGCAAAATTTCATTAATAGAAGGTCGCAGTCACCAAAACGTCGCGGAAGTTATTCTGATGCAGAGACTAACGACAGAGTACAAGGAGCTGATGAGTATGGCCCTGATATGTATCGGGATGAAGATGATAGAGACAGGTTTTTATACTCTTATATAGATTTTTGTAATATATAGCGTATTTATTCACTCACGCTCACTCCATCCATCAAATTACCGTCATTGCGAAATCTTTTTTCATGTATCTTCGTTAAAATAGATTAGAAAATTTAAATGAGTTGGAGCGTGAGAAGATCTTGTCAGAAAGAGCCGAAAAGGTATTAACAATTTATTAAATGAAAGATGTTGTTTGTTGCTTGATCGAAAATTATATTAACCTTATTATGAACTCAAATATGTATACGTTTATTTAGAGGCAGCATAACAAAGACTTGGAAGCTGTTCATCTTTTGTTCAATCCAGATGATGTCGGCTCAACGAGAAGTAGGTCCCTGATTCTATCTATCTATTAGTAAATATATTATTTTAATGTCATTTCATCTCATTGTTAAGGATCTATGAGGGCCAAGGGTCCTAAAAAGAAGGGAAGAGATCTTGAGGAGCTTAAACGTAGGCGAGCTCAAAAGGGTCAGCGAACGCAGACAGTATGTGGTTTTTTTTTAATGATTATGCTCCATTATACGGCTTATTCATGTCAAGAAATCTATACCTATATAGGGTTCTCAGAGCCCGGAGCCAGGTGAACATGTCTCATCTGGTGATGAAGAAGAAGCTTACGATAGCAATGGAGAAAGGAGCAAACATGATACCGATGTAAGTACTAATTTGATGAAGCGACATAAACAAATTTTCGTTAATTGGCTTTGAATTATTAGGAGATTAAACTTGAAGACATTAAAAGCATACAGTTGACTCGTCGTCAGCTTAGCGATTGGATGTTTGCTCCTCATTTTGAAAAGACTGTTATTGGTTGTTTTGTTCGTTTGCATATTGGAGTTATTGAGGGAAAACAAATATATCGATTGTGTGAGATCGAGGGTACGTACATTTAATTTGTTTCTAAAGAATAGTTGTTCATTATTTTTAAATTAATTAACTTGTTTATTAATCTCTTATCTGTAGCTGTTGAGGAAATTGGCTCAACTTACTACGTAGAGAAGGCAATCACAAATAGAGTGTTGCGTCTTAGACATGGGGATGCAATAAAAGTTTGGCATATGCATGTCATATCAAATAATGAATTTGATGCAGTATGCATTCATCTCATTTCCTGTTTTGAATAATTTACTTTTTCATTCTTTTAACATATTCTGTTTATTTTATTAGTCCGAATTTGAACGGTGGGTAAAGACTATGAAAACCCAAAACCTGGATTTACCGACAAAAGAAAAAATCGAACGAAAGAAGGAAGACCTTAAATTTGCTAAAACTTATGTTCTCTCTGAGGTAAATTAATTAGTATTCAGTAACTCTCATATTATTAATAATTGTCACTAACATTAGAATAATTTTTTAGCAAGATGTAGAGGCCATGGTCAGAAATAAGCAGGCACTGCGCGGCGGTGAACCTATCGATTTACTGACACAAAAAACCACATTGGTTACGCAAAAAAGTCTGGCCAAGGCACAAGGAAATTTCAAGGAGGCTCAAGACTGTGATATGCGACTTAACGAGATAGATAAGATGATTGCCGGTACATCTCGTGATACTAAACAAGATATATGGGCTCGCGTTAATGAAAGAAATCGGTTGAAGGATCTGGAAGATTCTCGGTTGGCAGAAGAATTAGCCAGACAAAAAAAGAAAGGTATTAGATTATACTTAATGTGTTTTTTATTACAAGTAATTAATATATCTCAATCAGTAACTAAATTACTACGTTATATATCTATCTGCAGCTGAAATTATTCCTAGAAAATCCATCAAAACCTCGGCACTGGATTCACCAAGTAGTAAAGAAATAATGGGAGAAAGATCCAGCAGATACACAAAAGCTACCAGTGCACCTTTTACTAAATACGAAGCTTTAATCTATCAAGCAGAAGTTGAGCTTAAACTTCCACTAGATCCTATTATGGATTATGATGCATTACTTGACTCAGAATACGAAGCAAAATATGCACTATTTAGTGTTGAAAAATCACTATCATTAATACGAGGTTTACCGCAGCAGTCTCCTATGCAGCAACAACCCGATGCTGCACAACCACAACAATTGACCCCTCCGTCGCATGAAGAAACTAATAATAATCGATATCATCGTGCTCAGGCACAACCATGGAGTACCGAAGTGTCTAAGGGTCCTAAATCATATTTGTTTCATAAAGATCTTCATTATGGTGTTTAATATTTGGGTTTCTAGTATTATAAATATTATAAATAAAAATTTGCTCTTAATATTTTTCCGTTATATACTATATAACAGTATATGCTATAAATTAATATTTCGTGTTTAAGTTTTATTGAATTCACTGTTGTAAGAATATTTTTTTTAATTCTGATTAGCCTTATTTTATCGAGAAAGAAAAATACACAATATTTTATAACCCCAAGCTTATTAAAAAATTTATTGCGACTTATTATTACTTATATTTTCATTCAATTTTATATTAAAGAAAAGGCTAATAAGACAATTTATCAAAAGATTTGTAAAAAATTTATTATTAAAAAAAAAAGAATTATTATTATATGAATATAAACAAACTTTTTTTGCTAATTTTTAAAACATTATAAAGTTTAGGCAATATTTATTGTTTTTTTTTTTTTTTACTTCTAATTAAATTATAATCTAAGATATTTATTAATCTTTTAATCCAAATACAATATACAATATAAATATTATATTATAGTTAAATATTTTACTAATTACGAGATCTGTTGATCTATAGTATAATAATTATTGCTTTCAAGTTTTATGCTTGTTGTTTACTTTTTATGGTTTATAAAATTATAAAAGAAAAAGTCAGATTTATTTCAAGAAATTTTAATAAAATAAATAGATTTTTTATATATTAAGTTATAATTAACAGCTTTATAATTTGTTTTATAATTTTAATATTATCAATAATAAAATTAAAATTAAAAATATAAAAGATAATATATTAATTACTTTTTAATTAAAAAAAAAAAAAACTCTTTTCTGCAAATTTTAAATTTCAAAAATTTCTTTTTTTGATAATATTCAAAAACATTTCAAAGAAATATTCAAAAAAAATATCAAAGAAAACTTTATAATATCTTCTAGGAAATAAAGGAAAATATATACAACAGGTATACTGTGGATTCAAAAAGTATATCAACTCTTCTTTATTTCTTAATCATATAAATAAATACTTGTAATTTCTTACTGGAAAAGAAAAAAAACAAAGAATACAATTTACAATAAAATTAAAGAAAAAAGTCAACACTGCATTTTACAAGCTATCAGTTAGTTATGTATTAAGTTAGATACCTTTCTAGACACTAGCAGAATTTAGTATTAATCAGATCATATCCAGTAAATCAGACAATCTTATACATTAACACAAAATTAGAAAAGTGTCAAGGCTTTCTCATTACTATAATTAAAAAGAAAAGTACTAATCTCAATAATTTTTAAAGATAAACAATAATTATTAAATTTTTTGAAAACAAAAAAACTAGAAATAGTTTATTCCCTTCTAAAGATCAACAGTAATGTGAATATATAGTTTTTTAAATCAAATAATAACAATAATTATAAAGCAAACAAATATAACTCAAAATATAAACATATGTTTTTATAACAACATTAGATTTTACCAAAGTTAGCTTACTTCCAAGGACAAGATCTGCAGTAATACAGATATGTTCTTATCAAAAATCAAGTAACAAAATACAACCAGATTCACTAAAATAAACAGATCTCAAACTTCTTGATAAAACACATATTAATCTCAATCTTTTATACCAAAAAAAATCTAATTATATTTTATAACAAACTATTCTAAACAAATCAACATATATAAAAAAAAAAAACAAAGCAAACTCATTTACATGTATCAATTCAACAAAAGTTTAATACAATAGCTGACTTTAATTCAATCCAAATAAAAAATCTAATAATAGACCATCTAAAAATATTTAAAAATAATTACAATGAAGAAGAACAAAAATGATTCTATGCTTTAATTAAAAATAATATAACAAATACAAATTTAGAATTGGCAGATCTAAAAACAATCATAAATATTATAGTTATTGATATAATAGTTGCAAAGCTTCTCAATGTTAACTTCTTTTTTTTTGAAGGAACAGGCAGTCCCCACACACTATTTTTATTATAAATTTTAGACTTGCGAATATAAGATTTACAAACTTATGGCATAGTATACATCTTTCTTTGCTAGGAAGAGTTTAATGCAAGGCTCACAATTGCGACCCATCTGTCTGAGCTCCTTAGCACCACTCAAGAATATAGAAAAAGAAAATTCAAAACCTATATTATACCTTAATTGGTGTCTAGCTACCTAGAGAATTTGGTTATCTAATTATATGAAAGCACTGCAGCCACTATATACAGATTGGCCTCCAAGTCATAATTAGGATTGGCACACTTGTTTTCCAACTGTAACTTGATATATGACAAGTGGAGCAAGAGTTGGTTCCAAGTTATACTAATACCAAATACACCAAAATAAAGCAGATCTTTCATTATTTGCACTTAGCATTGACCCTCTATTTGAACCTATCACTAGTACTAAAGGCTAGAAAATGGCAACTGTCTTTAACACCAATGCAACCCTTTGGCAATATTAATCTTTCACCATTTTATCTAGTATAGACCTCCTATTTTGAAACCCATCATTAGGATTATAGGCTGAGAGGTGGTAATTAATCTTGCTATCAGAGTAGTTTTAGAGGGTATATCTTGATTTTAATATAAGGTGGAACTGGTGAGTATAGAAAATAGATCGGATGTAAAGTGGTAGTATGTTGAGAAAGGTGTTGGACATGTAGTGAAGTTGGATTTTCTTAAAGGTATTGATACCTAACCTTGTACAATGAGCCTACATTGTCAGAGGAGTAAGCGAGAAACTTTCATTATCATCACTAGCTCGTGTTGCAGAGGTAACTAGAATCCCTGGTCTTTACATATTATCCTACTGACTTCTCCAATTACTAGCATAACACCTGCACACTAACCTAGCTTATTGTTAGCTGCATTGGCATTGGCTGCCATTTTACTCTGAATATTATGGAACACAACTCCTTGGATACTTTTGGATAATAATAGTTGTACACCGGTTTCTTAAATGTATCTAGTCTAACCATCAACAAGTAAACAACACTGGATTTGGTAATGATGACTATGCTGATCTTTTGGAGAGGGTAAACCATCTGTCCTTTTTCTGTAAGGCCATGGAAGAGAGAAAAATTCTGAAGCTCATGTCTTGAAAGAAAAAATCACGTCTGAATATGGTCTTGAGAAAAGAGAACCGACTGGCCAGAGGAGTGATGTTATGGAGAGTGAAGTTTATATAGGAAAAAAAGGCCTAGAAAGAAAACCTTCAGGAAGAAGGAAAAACCTAACTTTGGCAGGGAAGAGGAAAAGAAAAGAGAAGGGGTGAAATGAATAAAAGAGTATATAGAAGAAAGGGGAGAAAATAAAAGAGGGGAGTAAAGAGATATGGGAGGAAAAGGGAAAAACGAAAAAAAGTAAACAACTCAAAAGTTTCCTAAAAAGGAAATATTCAAGCGTAGAAGGGGGAGTGGGAAAGAGTTTTTTTTTCTATCATTTTTAAAGACCCTCAATGTTAACTTCTATATAGTTATAAAATAGATATTAACTAAAGAATATATCAAACAAATATAAATATTCAATTAATTAGATGTAAATATATATTAGAAGATTTACAACAATTATTTCAGATTATGAATATCTTATACTCAGTTCAAAATTTACGACACCTATAAAAATGGTGATTAAGAAATTATGTTATCTAATATAAATAGAAGTAGAAAAGTATGGAAACAAGGGAAATAATCTTGATAAAGAAAAAAATAAGAAGGCTATTAAAAAGAGTCGCTTCGCTAATAAAGAATCTTTTAATTAAGAAACTTGCCTTTTTAGTACTTGTCAAGTTAGAAAAGAATAATAGGAATCTACTAAAAGGAACTGTGGAAGGATTATTGAGAGAACAAATAGTAACAGGAAAGAAAGGATGGTAATTAATAGAAGAGAGAAAAAAGTGATTGGTCAAAGTCTTACTTACCTCTTTCAAGACAAGAAGACATAACCCAACCTTGACATATGGTAAGTTCTTGCTGCTACTAGCAACAGGCTTACTGATTTAATATCAACAATTTGGTGGTGACTGTGAGATATAATGCCTTGTTATCTTCAATAAAATTGTATGGATTGGAAAAATTTAATTAATTAAATTAATTTCAAAAAAAAAAAAAAACAAAACACATTGTTTGCCAAAATAAGTCTTACCTTCTTTGAAAAATCTGTAATTCATTCAAGATTTGCCTTGATTATTAATCAATAGCAAAAATATTGGAAATCGTAAAGTATGTGGATAAGGAAACTCTTTGTATTCTTTTATGTCAAAATAGCTAGAAAGAATCAAGAAATGCTATCACTATTTTGTGAGAAAAAATGAAAAGAACCAGAAAAAAAGAAAGTCGATATGTCAAGCCACCTAAATTTAAAAGTGAATCAGAAGAAGAGTTGTGGAAATGGATAGAATGTTATAATAAAGCCACCGACTGCAACAATTGGACAGATAATGATAAGTTAGATAGAATAGCCAGCTATTTGGAGAAAACTGCATTAAAATGGTATGATGAACACCAGCACTGTTTCAATTATTGAAACAACAAGTACAACCATGAGGAGAGTTTCGTATCAGCATTCATCTACTATTTTGAGATGATTGAACAATGGTACCAATGGCAGACAGAGTTGGAAGACATAAAATAAGAAAAGAGTGAAAAAGTACTAGAGTATGTCCAATAGTTTCAGAAACTATTTGAGAAGGTCTACCTTAAGAGAGATTACCACAAGGAAGTGGCTGAATGAGTAATTGTGCTTAAACTCAGGAAAGACTTATTAGCTACATCTGCTATTAAGAATGCCATTGATCCGAGGGGGGCACTCAAAGTAGTAATCAGGGCCAAAAAAAAAACAAAGAAAAGAAAAAAGTTAGAAAACTGCATTCAAAAGTTGAAACACCAGATGCAAGAATTAACAAAAAGATATAACATATTTGCTGTTTTTGATGAAAACAAGTCAGGAGCATTAGACACAAAATTCCAGTGGTGTGTTGAATGTAGAAAGAAGGAATGTTATGGTAAAAATTGTCCAATGAAGAACAATTATATCAGGAAGGTATCCTAACCTACCAAGGCATGATTCAGCAATGCAAAAAGTGACAGTGAAAGTAAAAAAGAAAGCTATCAACCTAAGTGCCACTAGTTATTTGGGAAAAGTGAAAACAGGAAAGGGAAGGTTGTGCTAGAGTTCATGATAATAAAGGAGGACCATCTGAGAACCAAGACAAATTCTCAAGTTCAAGAATCTGAGTGCAATGATAATGATATATCTTTGTCTAAAAAAATGAATGCCTGTGTTAGTAAGCAGAAAATCAGTATAAAAAATCCGGTAAAGGATCTGGATTTGAATAATAATGAGGCCAAAAGTGATAGCGAAAGTGTAGAAAATTGCCATGCTTAATGCTTTGGCTTGTTCAGAAGATATAAGGGTATAGAAGAAAAGATTGTGCCAAAGTTGGAAAATTATCTAAAAACTACTTCAAAGCAAGTTGAGTTATAATAATAATGACACATCTCAACCAAAAGAAACTACAAATGTAGTCACTGTTAAAAAGCAGATAATCATCACTGAGGGTTTAACCAAGGATTCAATTTTAAATGATAAAACCAATATGTTACATGCTGACAAGATTAATCATGGAAGATACTGTGATGCAACTGATAAAAGCACTTCATGGAATGAATGTCCTACTAAGGTAAAAAAAAGTAAATGATAATGATAAAGAAGATGAATTGGAAAAATAGTTAGAGGTTCACAAAGAGAAAGGAAAGAAATGTGATGATGTCGACTCTAATGATGAAATGCGACTGAAGATTTCAGATACTATCGTACAATCCCTTTAACTGAAAGGAACATTGATGACAATCAATAATAATATAAAAATGGTCAATGAAACTAAGAAAAAGGATATTCTCCTCTCTGAGAATGTGTTCTACAAACCCAGTTCCAACACTGAATTCCATCTTATTATTTTAGATCTCGATGCATGCTCAATTCAAATAGAAAAACAGACAATATCATATGATTATGCTTGGGAAGAGATGGTTGAAAAGAAAATCGCTAAAGTTGAATTAGACAGTAAAATTAAAAAAGGACAGAATAAGCAGACCGAGATAATACTAGTAGAAAAACTGGACATTCTGATAATAAGTGAGAAACTACTGACGATACTACAATTTAAAAGCATCAAGACAAGATCGATAAAATCAGAATTGATTCTGGAATAAAAAAGGAATTAGTAGGAAAGTGTTCAGAAGATAAACAAAGTGCTCTTATGAACATTGTTCAAGAGTTAGGATCTGCAAAAATAGTATTATACCTGGACAATATCAACAATATATTGGTTAAACAGAATGTGTATCAAAGCAAAAAGACAACAATTGGAAATAAAACAGTATCAGTAATTACTTGGGAACTACATGTGCCTGGAGATGAAACCTACAGATCATATAATATCATTGCAGTGTGGCAACAATGGATAGAGGTGTTTCTTCACAAATTTAAAATAAAGCTCATGAAAACACACTTTAATATCTTTATGAGATTAGCGCTTCACACAATAATGATAATCAAGATCAAAATAGTTCAGATGAGTTATCATATAAGAAGATTGCTAACTGATAGTATTGTCAAAAGAACTATATTAAACTCTGAGTATAATATAGTGATGCAAAATCATAATAATATTCTGATTGTTCGTGATATGCAACAAGTCAGATTAGATATACAGGAAATCACCAATAAAAGAATAGCATCAATAATGATGAAAGAGACACACATGTACAGAATGATCTCTACATATGGTATGCATTCTGAAAACCATAATAATATGGATGATATAGTTAAGAAAAAACAAATAGTTTGGAAACCTAATGTGAGAACAGTCTAATTCACATTAGATAATATTGAAGAAGCTACAGCACATGATTATGAGAGATCATGATCCATTTTGCCAATTAGACTACAAGTTAAGAAGTTGGTGACATTCATGGTTAATGAATATTACCCTAGAGCTAGAAGGAGACACTGGAATAGTAAATGAAGAATTAGGAGAATAATTGTCAACTTATCACAAAAATGGAAAGAAAATAGAAATTATCTATACTTTGCCATAACACCCATCAAAGCGAATTCAAAGATAACCCAGCATAATTCTATTTGCCAGTCATACTTACTTTGGAATCCCGATACAACTATAAAGAAATATAAAGACTGTACACTTTGCCAGGAAATCAGATTGGAAAGCCAGTTAGAGCAATCTTGTAGGATTATTCATACTCATAATATTACTAGCAAAAAGCATAATCTCGAATTTATATGCACAATTAGGTATAATGGAAAAGAAGGCTGTAAAAGCTTAAATACTAATAATCTAGCCATGACAAAAGAAATTAAAAACAAATCAGGAATTACAGTAAATAACGGAAACAGCAATTAAGATATCTGCACAATTGATTCACTATATGATATTCAATCATCTGATACATCACCATCATGGAAGATCTGTTGAGTTCTGGGAGTAACAAGGTCTTTAATAAGAATGCCAAAGATAAGCGGAGAGGAATTGTTGACAAGGAATCTGCTTAACTAAGGTCTGGCAACATGATTCTTGTTTATATAACTTATCAGAGTAGTAGTAACATTCTAGAAAATAGTTATATATTGTCATAAAAGCTTAGATAGTTTATTTTATAGCTTGATAGTCTATGAGTCATAGTATTATAGTCTTATAGTACATTAGTTAATAATAAAGATAGTAATATAAATAGAAATAGAAAAGTGCAGAAACAAAAGAAATAATCTTAATAAAAAGAAAAATAAGAAGGCTATTAAAAAAAGTTACTTTGCTAATAAAGGATCTTTTAATTAAGAAACTTGCCTTTTTAGTACTTGCCAAGTTAGGAAAGAATAATCGGGATCCACTAAAAGGAACTGTAGAAGAATTATTGAGAGGACAAATAGTGACAGGAAAGAAAGGATGGTGATTAGTGAAAGAGAGGAGAAAGTGATTGGCCAAAGCCTTACTTATCTCTTTCAAGACAAGAAGACATAACCCAACTTTGAAATATGACAAGTTTTTACTGTCACTAGCAACAGGCTCACCGATTTAATGTTAACAATATATTCTGCAAAATAAAAAATAAAACATTAGATCATTTTTTAACATATAAAAAAACAAAAATTTACAAAGAAAAAATATGAACATTATTACAAGAAAAGCTCTTAAAAACATGAATTCCTAAATATTTTATCACTAATTTATTAAAACAAAAAAAAATCAACCAACTTTTAGATTAATAGAAAAAAAGAAATATCAAATCAGTCAAAGAAATAATTAATCTAAATATAGTTTTATAGAAAAAAAAAGATAACTTGGACTGGAAAAAAAGCCTTCAAATTGTAAAGATCTTCTATACTTATATATATAAACTATTAACCAAGACATTTAAGATATGGTATAAGTTTTTCAGGTAATACATATGAAATCCCAAATGTAAAAAAATTTAAGAATACAAGTAATCCCAAAATACATATCTGGAAAAAAAAAGAGAAAAGGATGAAGAAATTAATATCACTAAAACTATTAAGATTATAAAACTTATTTAAGGACAAAAAAATTGACAAACTATAAAAGAAAAAGAAAAAACCATTTAAGAATCATTTTCCATTATTTTCAAGTTATAACTATAAGAAAGCTAATCAAGTAAATCCACCAAATAGCAAAAGGGAAAAAGAAAAACTCATGGAAAAACTTATGAAAATCCTGTAAAACAAGATTAAAGAATAGAAAAATAGCTAGAAATATAAAACATAATCAAGATTTTGAAAAGATAAACTATAGTGATGAACTGCAGACTATAACTTCAAAATATATTTTGAGACAAGTATATGAGAACAATCAATTTTTTTATCTTCAAAATTATATCTAGAAATAATTTTATCTAAGATGAATATTCAAGTATCATATTTAAAAGTTTGTATATAAAAGTTATAAAATCAATATGTATTTTATATTAAGATTAAATATAGTAAATATTATAAATATTTGTTTAATTATAAAAAAAAAATTAATACTTTTAATAAAATAATAATTTCAAGTATAAAAATAAAATTGTTAAAATATTTTAAACAAAATTTTTTTTGAAATTATTAATTGATCTTTTAATAGTTCAGATTTAAATCCTATCAAAAATCTTTAAACTATTACTAAAAAAATATTTTAGAATTAAATAATTTATGATAAAAGAATGAGATAAAATTTCAAATAAGATTTTAAATAATTTTATAAATTTAATAAAAGAGTAATGTGAATTAATAATTGAAAATAATAGTAAAAGAATTAATTATTAATTATATATTAATAAAATTTCTTGATTTTTAATATTATTTTAATATATTTTTTATTAATTTCTATAAATAAATTATAAATTCCAAAATTTTTTGTATTATATTATATTTAATCTAACTATCAATTAATAACTAATATTGAGTTTAATAATAATAATTATATTAATCTTTTGAAGAAAACAAATCATTTATACTTTTTTTAAAAGATTACAAAAAGAAAAAATTTATTAAAATTTATATTTTGAAAAAAGTTATTGCTTTTTGATATAATTCTTAAGAAAAAAAATCAATTGATTAAAGAAGAAATATTATTATAAGCAAAGTTTTTTAACAAAAAAGAGAAATCTAGAAAAAAAATTTTTTTAAGAAGAAGAGAAAACTTAATTTTGGCAGATAAAAACAAAAAAGAAAAAGAATATAAAATATAATAAAATATATATATATAAAAGAGATAAAAAGTAAAAGAATATAGGAAAAAAAAAATAGAAAAAAAATAAAAATAAAATAAAATAAAAATAAATAACTTAAAAGAAAATTTTCAAGTATAAAAAGAAGAAATAAAAAAATGTTTTTTTTAGAAATGTTAAATTTTTTTAATATATATTTTAATTATATAATTTTTTATAAAATTATTAATTTTTTTTTATAAATAAACTGAAACTTATTAATTATTAATAATTATAAAGATTCTAAAAAAAAACATTTATTTTATTTGAATTATTAGTAAAAAAAATTTTTTTTTTTATTATTTTTTGATTTATTTTAATAGAGATTATTATTAACATAATAAATAATCATATATGATATTTAAATTTTTTTAAAAATTAACAACTTTTATATTAATTATTTTCTATTAATATTATATATTTAATTTTTTTTATTTTTACTTTTATTTATTTTTTTAAAATTTTTAATTAATTAAATTTTTTTATTTTACATTTATTTCTACAAATAATTTAACAAATAATTTATTTATTTACTTTAATAATAATTTTTATATCTTCTAGATTACAAAATTTTTTTCTTAACAAAATATCAAAATCAATTTGCACCTAATATCTCATTAATATTTTATTCTCAATCAATATACATTTTACAAATTATGTAACACATGATATAAACAATTTTACAAATAAAAAATTGATCAATTGTATATTCATTTATTATCAAACAACAATTATATAATACTAGTTATCAATAAAACAATGGTAAAATAATTAATATATCAAATAAATGGTTATTAAACTATTACAGTATATTAAATCAAAATGTATACAACATATATTGTGTGGAATATTTATTTATTTGCATTTAATCTATTAAAACAAACTTAATATCTGATTATCACATGAATGGAGATGTGTATGATGTTATAATTTTCACACGTATGCTAAGAATCTTTTACTGTAAATACTGTGACGCATATATTTTATTAATTACTAGTCAATATTTGGCTAGATTTTGTTTATTATGTCAATCGTTATTTAA